TTTTTAAGGGGGGGGGGGAAATTGGGAAAATTTTTTGGTTTTGGCCCCCAAAGTTTTCAAAAACAAAAAACCCCCCCCCCCTCGGGGGGGGGGGGGGGGGGCCCCCCCCCCAAAAAAAACATGTGGGGGGGGGGGGGGGGGGGGGGGTTGTACTCGTGTACACGTATGTCGCAAGTTGTTAGACTATTGACGTCGCATCCCTACAATGCCGGGACGGAGCGGTGTGCCGGGTTTTCGCCGGCCCAGCCTACGTTTCGTAAAGATGGAACAGAAGCTGGTCATCGTCATCCTTGCGTATTTCGATGGGGGGGGGTATTCATGGTTTGCATCCCTTAGCGGTTAGACCATTGGCCGCGAGTCCTCGAGAGGACCGAGCATTGTTCCCACAGGACCGATCACCAGTGGCGAATCGTTCCTTGTTCGAAGTACTTTGCCAAAGGTGGCTCAAAAATGTTTTCCTTAACCTTCGTATCCTATCGATCGTACCTGCACGTGCTTGCCGACGCGTACCGCCCGGCTGTAGCCCGCCATCTTTTCGTACGAAGATCCGGAAGATATCACCTGGTAGCATCGTCCACCAATCACGCGTACAGAACCGGCTAGCACTTAAGACCTTGGTAGTAAAGAACTTGAGCCTCAAAATCGCCAAAATGAAGTTGGCTACAAGAACAGTTGCTCAGTCAAGAAGCCTACACTAAAACCTAGATAGTCGCCGTGGGGATAGTCCCTATAAGAGAAAAAGTAAGAAAAGGGCCTCGACCAAAACGAGAGGTTTTGAAGTGCGGGCCGAACACTGCTGTATCCATCCAAACTTGGTTGGAGCTAAAGCTGCTTTATGAAGCGGCATGCTTCCATCAGGCGAGCGAGACCTGCCTTCATCCAGCGGGCAATACAGAAGGGCCGCTGTCATGCAGCATGACCCGCCGAGAGCGTAGCTGTACATGAGTTCCCCGTAACAGGCGGAGCGATGGCACCTCCCATAGACCGACTTTCAAAGCCCGATAGCTCCACAACCATGTGTGTGCGGAAAGAGACCCATACACCGATGGGAAGCCCTCGACGATATGTTCCTAAATATTTTTTTTTGGTGTTGGCACAAGCTTGATTGTGGAGCAATCGAGCTATGAAAAATCGGTCTGGGGGGGGGGGGGGGGGGGGGGGGGGGGCTCCCCGGGGGGGGGGGGGGGGGGTCCCCCCCCCCCCTCCCCCGGGTAAAAAAGGGGGGAACCCCCCCCAGGGGGGAAAATTCCCCAAAAAGGAAAGGGGGGGGGGGGACTCTTGGAAACCCCCCCACCCAAAGGGGGGGTTAAAAACCCCCCCCCCCCCAAGGGAAAGGGGAAAAAAAATCCCGGGGAAAAAAAAATGGAAAAAAAAACCCCTTTTTTTTGCCCCCCAAAACCCCCTTTTTTGGCCGCCCAAAAAAGGATTTTTTCGGGCTGGGGGCCCCTTTTTGGGGGGGGGGGGGCCGGAAAAAAAAAAAAAAAAAAATGTGGAAAACCCGGGGGTGTCCCCCAATTTTAAATTTCCCCCGGGGAATTCCCAAAAGGGGGGGGAACCCCTTAACCCCCTGAAAAAGGGAAAAAAAAAGGACCCCCCCCAAAAACCTTTTAAAGCGGGGAAATTTTG